AGTTGCCTTCCATACACACCCCAGCTGGAGATCAAACCTGCAACCTACATATGTGCCCTGACCAGGAATCAAACCCACAACCTTTTGGAGTATAAGATGATGCTCCAACCAACTGACCCAACTGGCCAGTACTTGGTGATAGTATTTTGTTGAGGCTTTTTGTGTCCAGATGCACAAGAGATATTGGCCTGTAGTTTTCTTATGATGTCTTTGTCTGGTTTTGGTATTAGGGTAATACTGGTCTTATAAAATGAACTGAGGAATATTCCCTCCTCTTCTACTTTTTGGAAGAGTTTGTGACAAGTTGGTATTAATTCTTCTTTAAAACTTTGGTAGAATTCACCAGTGAAGCCATCTGGTGCTGAACTTTCCTCTGTGTAAATGCTGTGTAAGCATTTAAGGTAGGCTAAGCTAAGCTATGATGTTCAATAGGTTAGATGTATTAAATGCATTTTGAACTTATATTTTCAACTTACAATAGGCTTATTGGGACATAACCCCATCATAAGTCAAAGAGCATCTATAGTAAAGTTCCAACTATGCACTGTTTATTAATGCAATAAAATATTATTTTATTATGGGTAAGAGAGCTTTTCTAGCCATTTGAGCATTTCTTAAATTTTATTTTGCACTTTGCAATTTACTTGTTCATCGATCTTAGCATTCAAAAAATTTTAATAGACCCAGAAGAATCCATAAGCCTAGGCACAGTGTCTAGGGAGCCTAATAGAAAAAAATCACTCAGATGCAGTTAGTTCACTTTTGGGGTGGATGAAGTCTACTCCAGCATGTCTAGTTGTTCCCACTGGGCTCGTTCCCATCTAAGCAGCAAATACCCTAATTAGATCCTTCCTTCCTATAGCACCAATAGCTGAGGATCCTAGCCATTTCAGCCATGACTCTTCATTGTAGAATAATGAGTCTTGGCCTTAATTTCTCAGTTTGGTTTTCTTCTGGTTGCATATTACCCATGCCAGTATCATCATAAAAGTAGTGACCTGGGTTACAAGTCAAAATCCTACAGCTTCTGTCACCAAAACAGCCACCAATCCAATTTCCAGTTATATAAGGAATATCTCAAAGGATATTCCTTTCTGACTCACATTTTCTTTTCTTTTCTTTTCTTTTTTTTTAATCATTGTTCAAGTACAGTTTTCTCCCTTTTACTCCCAATCCAGCCCATCCCCCCCCAAACCTGACTCACATTTTCACTGGGTGGCCAAACATATGAACCTATTTTAGAACAACAATAGTATAAGATCAAAATCATGACTTCTAATATGAGATGACAAGGTGAGAGTGTGAACTGGACTGGAAATGTGAAACCTGCATGCGGGATTACTGACACCGACCAGCTGGATGACTAAGGTTTTCCGCTGACTGGCAGCCCCACTCGGGCCACGTGTGCCCTGTCCATCAGAATCCCAGAGCCATCTGAGGTGTATCAGCAGGAAGTCGGTGTTTGCTCAGGCAGCACCTCTGCACATGAATAACAGTATAGCAAAAGCAGCAGAAAGGGTTCAAGAACGAAAAGAGTGAGGTGGAGAAAATCAAACAACTCTTTTCTGATTCTGAAATTCTGTGATTGGACCAATGTGACCCTATAGACCAGAGTCAGGGGGAGAGGATAGGCTTACTTGTATCCCGCATGGGTAAAAACATATCTGTTTACATGTGAGCTACATAGTTTATGAGGGTCACTGACAAACTAACAAATCCAAAAATGAGTGAACCACATCATATAAAGAAATTGAAGGTCTTAATGTATACTTGAAAAATGGGGCTTAGGAGGCAAGACAGTTATCCACAGATACTTCAGAGCTGTCCTTAAAAGTATAAAAATTGCTTGGTACTACTGAATACTCAAGGGCCAGTCCAAGGCACAAAAAATTATTCATACATTCAGCAAACATTTATTCTGCACCTCCATAGAGGGAGACCCTGTTTTAGGTAACTAGGCCACATGGATAAGTAATGAGGGGTCTGGGAGCATAGATAAGCACACAAATAATCAGTTAGCCACAATACAAGGAAGAATATGAGAGTTGCCATGTGAATAGAACAAAACCTACTTGGGAAATCAGAAGCGGGGCCCATTATATCCCTCTGGCAGGATAAGAGAAAGTCCCTGAAAAAGGAAGCATTGAATTGGGCTTGTAAGGTATGTACTATTTCTGTGGGAAGAAATATATTAAAGGGTCATTCCAGGTGGGGGGAAAGCAGAAGAATATGTTTAGAGGTGGGAACAGATAGAGGGGAAAATTATAGGGGAACCCAAGTTGAACAACCACAGGTATAGAGATACCGAGTACTGAGAAGGCTGAAGGGTGCCGAATAGTGAGGGGCTTGTGCTCCAGGCTACAGAGAATGACTACATAAGGGTATTGTGAAAGTTTTTGTAATACACAAGTACTGTGATGCTGTGAGTTTTCATTGTTTCATTTTGTTTTTATTACCGGTATAGGGTTAGAGGCAAATACAGGAGAGGCAGGGCACTTGCACAATGGTTAGTCAGGAAGAATGAAGTCCTGATCAGATCAGAGGCATGTAGCGGTGGGAATGGGCACAAGGAAAGGGACCCATGAGATATTTCTGAAACTGAATTAAGAGGACGCAGACCTGAATCGTCAAATGTCTGGGATGCTAGAAAGAGCAGAGACCCCAGCTGGAGGAGCAACTGGCTGTGGGACAGAGGTGTCCAGTGAATGTGGAAGTACATTTTTTTAAAATATATAACTGAGATATAACATCTGAGTGGTTTATTTTTCAAAAATCTAAAAATGTGATAAGACTTATGAGATAAAACTTGATTGCCTGTTTCTCCTGGGACCAGTTTTATTCCTTAAACATTTTGGAAAGTTATTATTGGGTCTTACCAGAATAATGTAGTACTTTGGAGTAAACATGGAGCCTAACAGTCCAGCACTTGAAGTCAACATAGAGATCTCAACAGCTGCCATGACCTTGCCCTGTGTGCTGTGGTAGACAGAGAGGAAGGTGACCCAGACACGGTGAACACCATAGCTATATGGCACTCCCATATCGTTACCCTGGTGAGTGACTAGGATAGGACCAGGAGAACGTTCCACAGCCCCGCTCCAAGCACTTTCAACCCTTTCCCAACTCATGATCACACACCTCAGAAGCTGCTCCCCAAGGAAACTCTTGATATGAACAGTCAAATCCAGAGCAAATATACCCTAGCAGAAGTTCTACTGGCCACTCATTGCAACTCCCCATGAAGGCAGGGGATGTTGCAGGGTTAGAGACTCCCTCAATGAGATCCCCAAACAAAGCATCTGAAGAGCTGCCTTCTGGTCCTAAACCTACCACTTGTTACCCTTGAAACCATAGGTGGGATATAATAAGGTATACCCCACCTATGGGATATATACCCCACCTATTTCATAGGCTTGTGAGAGCACACAGAAGACAGAATTCTGCAAAGAGCACAGATGCCCTGGGTCAGCAGTAGTTCTTTGGGGGCAGAAACTATGCAAAGGCCTGTTTGTATCCTACGTGGAGCTGACTGTGAAAGGAGGGAGGGAGCAAGGTGGGCAAAAAATACCATAGCCTGACCCCCACTGGCAGCCTAGTGTTAGCCAAGGAATATTGCCTATCAGGAAGATAGACCTTCGGGAAGATCTACATCCAGAGAAACAGGACCTTAATACTCACCCAGGTCTACCTCCCGGCCCAGTGACCTGCCCAAGACCTTTAGCAACACAGGGCCAGGGCGATGACCAACAACACATCACAGTATAAACGGTGCTTTTACCCACCTTATCTCACAACTCATAGCCTTGGAGCTGAGCAAGAAGGAATTCTTAAAATTCCTATTTTTCAGCCTGAGGTTCAATGGCTTATCCAGGGAAGGACACAAATCCAACAGGCTGTACCCCTAGTCCACTGCTCTCTCTCTCTCTCTCTTTCTCCACACCACAATTTCATGCACATGCTGATATTTGGCACAGTCATCTCAGCATTCAATGCATTCAAATTCTAAATTCTCTTCTATTATTTTTCTTCTTATTTCATCCCGTCTTCAGCAATATTTCACATTCAGCCTTCCCTGTTAGGATTCTACTGACCTTTTCTCTTAGGTCCAACCAGTTTCTAAAAACCAGTTTTGAAAAACCAGTTTGGTGGCCACATTTGGCCCCAGAAACATTTTTGGAAACAGAATCATCAAAACTGGGCCTTGCCATATTAGCCATCTTCAGAAAGTATATCCCCACATGTGTATCACTCAACACGGACATCATTATGTCCGTTGTACTGAACGCACGGGACCAGGGCACTCAAAGAGCAATGATTACTCACTAATAGCATCAAGATTTAACATATAAGTACAAAGAAGGCAGTTTTAACAAATGGGCGTGACACTGAGGTATAAACTTCCAGACTTTAGCAGTGAAAACTGATCTGCACTCATGGAAGGGTCTCAAAGTGAAGTGAGCAACAGAGAAAATTACCCCGAAATTCTAGTCGAACGCAGCCCAAGGCTCTCCACCTGAGTGCGTCGGGAAAGGGGTGGGGGAAGAACCTGCATTTCACTGGTGAACGAGCCTCCAGTGGTTCGGCAGTAGTTTCTGCTGGAAACACCGGCATTCGTCCCTCTTGTTCCCGTTCCTTCCCCATTACCTGGTAAATTACGACACAATTCCCCACCCTCGCCCCTGGTCAGAAGCGGGGAATGCATCCTTAACAGCCCACTAGACCTCGGTCTAGAGCCCAACACACTTGGCAACTGCTTCGTAAAAGCACCTGCCCCACGGCCTGCCCGGGCCCTACCACACATGGGGACCACAGGGTCACGCGCGCCGCGCCCTGGGGATGCCTGTTACTTACTGCTCCAAGCAGCACCCAGGCGGAGACGCAGGGCACGCGCCCCACGGCCTCCCCCGGGAGGGCGCTGCCCCTGGGCCGCGGGTGAGAACGGGGGAGAAGCCGCCCCCCTTTATTAACAAACACGAGAGGGGGGGGAAGGTTTCATTTACCGATATGAGTGGTCACGGTGGCCAGTCGTCGGGTGAGCTCTTGGGGGGCCATTTCTTCTTTTAACCAAAATAGCATTTCACACACCAAAAAATCAGTATATAAACAAAACAAAGCAACACAAAACTGTTTCTACCGCTGCTCTGGATGGTTTTCAAAAGGCATCTCCTCCACAGGATGCTCCGCGCTCCTACACTCCCTCTCTCTCTTCCGATACAAAACGAGTCTCTGTCAGCCAAGGCCAACTCTCCGGGCCACGGGGCCAGACGATGCCAGCCACCCTCTCCGGGGGATTATTTTAAAGATTAAGTCCAGCAGCTTTCCCAATGTGACGTCTGGTTTTGAGGGACCGGAGAATGGCAGCTCTGTAGGTGAGAATATCAAGTCCCTCCAGTCTCGCTGTAACTGCGCATCAGGGTTTTCCTGGCCGAGGGAGCGTGGGGTTTCTGGATCTGCGGTCCCGAGTCTTAGGGTCTCCAGCTCAGCCTGGCAGGAGGGTTGGGATGGAGGATGCTCCGTTCGCTGGCAGGGGAAGCGCGGAACGTGCGAGAGCGGAGAGTGGAGGAGCAGAGGGGGCCGGAGGACCCTTCGCTCTGCACCGCCCACTCCCCGCCCCGCAGCGCTCTCCACACTTCCCGCCTTGGCGCCCACCTATCCCCGCCCCCGGGCGACGCTGGGGGCTGCTGTAGGAGAGGTGCGCACACGCCCCAGCACCGCCCGTTTTCACGTGGGGTAGCTGCGACCCCTTCCTAGCGGGCAGCCCACGCTCCCTCTCCCGGGAGACTCAGAGTGGAGAGAGTTGGCCAGCACCGGGGTTTTGAACGGCCGCGGCTGCGCACCTTCGTGGCTTGCCCCTCCTCCTGTCTCTCCGGGTATCTTGGGGAAGCGGAGGTGAGAAGGGGGCTAACTGGCAGAGGGGGAGCCATCCCGCGAAGATTCGGGAAGGAAGGCTGGGGGACGGCCTGCTGCTGGTTCCCTTCTCCTGACTCAGGGCTGAGAGGCTGTTGCAGAGGGGTGGGGGCGGTTGGAGTCCCTGCCCTCTTCTTCAAGGGTGGTCCCACGCAGTTATCAGAGTCCACTGGACACACCCGCACTTGAGGCCCAGACCGGGCTGGGCACGCATGTGCGCGCATGTGTCTCCACCGTGTGGGCCTTTCTCTTTGCGCAGCTACCGCTTGCGCCACTGCTCCCTACGCCAGCTGCCAGGCGCGCAGTGCTCCACCCTGGAAAGGTCGTGGCACAGCACCCTGGCCCGCCCTCCTCTCCTCATCAGTTCCAGGAGCGTCTTTTCCGAGCACGTAGTGGGTGGGAGACGCTCTCCCGCGGCTTACTTCGATGGCTCCAGATACTACCTGACAGGAAGCAAGGAAGGGAAAGACTAACCCTGTTCAGCAGAGCTCTGCAGGGGAAAGCCTAAACAAACGCAAATCCGGGCAGGTAGTCCCTCAATACTGGACAACAGGGCACCCTGAATATCCGGTTGCCGGAGTACTGGGACTATCCACATGCACTTGTTCTGAACTAATGCCAGGAAGCTCAAGTTTCCTCTTCACACGTTGGGGGAGGGGGGGCAAACCCCAAATACTCTGGATCCAATTTCTAATAGTAGCCACTCGCCACTCATCCCCAGGTTTTGGGGACAATTTTAAACTCTTTCTGTAACAATTGTGGACTGTGGTTAATGTTATCAACAAGTTTGGGTTCTTATCTCCTGATATAAAAGAACTCAGACCAGGGACACCGATAAAAGCAAAGGCAGATTTATTGGGGCTCTACAGAGGGCAAGAACACTGAGATAGGGCCTCAGGTTCTGTCCGCAGACGGTGGGGCTTACTATTCCTCGGGAACACAGGAGTTGCTGGGGTTAACCAGTCAGGGAGCAGGTTCGCAGGCTTCTCCTTTTCTGGAACACAGATATTCGGGTATAGAACTCTGATGTCCAGGTATACTTAGTGAAGCAAAGCATTCTGGGATTCAGTGCAGCACTTATTATGGGATACACAAAGGGACTTTCCCAACCAGGTGATCTGTGGCTTGGCTTTAGATCTGAAAAACAAACTTAAAAGAAGTCAGGGTAGTTCTTGGACTATTGCTTTAAAACAACTTATTGATAACTGCCTAAGTTCTGGCAGGGCTTGACCTGAAGGAGTAATTTGGAGGAACATTTTATTCTACTTGTTCCAGGTAAGAGATGATGTTAGTCCACCTGCAGCATGAGGTGTGTGCAGAGATGTCTCCCCTCTAGGAGGTTTAGACACCTTGCACTCTGCCTGCACAAGTAGAACAACCTTTTTGTTTGTTTAGCAACCTTTTGTTTGTTTAGCAACTTTTTGTTTTGTTTGTTTGTTTGTTTGTTTGTGATAGCATCCTTCTGCAAATTATTCAGAAAGGGGGTAAAGACCCAAAGGAGTAAACAGCTCTGGACTGTGTTTCCACGGTGATGTCTGACCCTATTCAAGGGTCACAAGTATTTTTGAGGAAACAAAGGAGATGTTTCCCGTTGGTAGTAGCCAGAACCCTGGTGCCCAGTCAGAGCCCATTGTAAGTTTGGGTCGCTAGGAACCGGCACATTAGTAAAGAGACTGATGATATGGAACATTCTGGACTTTGCAGATCCTCAGCTTCCTGGATTAAGCCATGCCCTTAAGGGTGAGAATCGTGAAAAGAAGGGAATGGGGAAATGAAGAGAGGAAGAGGAAGTGGGAGAAGGTTATGAATAGGAATGAGAGAAAAAAGAGATAGAAAGGAAAGAAATCACACTCAGAGTGCTGCTGTGCTTTCCCACATCTGCACCTTCACAGTCTTCGAAGGTTTCCATGGAGACGAGTTGGCTGAATTTATGGCAAGATGTAGTAGGCAGTGCCTGTCTGCAGAAATCAATTCTGTCCCCCCGTCGCTAACACAGGCTCTCCCAGGGCCTGGATCGCTTCACCTGGGTCATGGGGGAAGGGGTCATCTTGGATCTCCCAGTTCCATTTTTCAGTTCTGAGATCCTAAAAGTGTCAAAAGAAAATGAGCACATAGTTTTCAATAGTTCCTAATGCGCTCCTCCAAGAAAACAGTCGTTCTCTCCATTGCTCTTACAAATGTGGGCATGCTTCTGGTCTCCTCTCCTTCCCCACCCTAATGCCTTCGGCGCTTCCTTTTCTCCTTCCTCATTATGATCTGTTTCCTTGCTCTAAAATGTGGCAAAATTAAAGAACAGGCCAGAATAGCCTGCCTCCCTCTCCAATTAATTAATTAACAGTCACATCTATTGATTATAGATGCCCAGAGTTGTGGCAGACTTTGCCAAGTACAGCAACTACCATCACCATATAGTAAGTGGCTGCTCTGCGCCTGGTATAATGGTAAGTATTTCACAAACATCATTTAAGCCTCACAATAACCCTGTAAGGGGTTTAGTCTAATTTTACAGATGCTGCTGGTACAAGGACCAAACTGCATATTACTAATCTGATGAATCTAGACCGTTCTCTTTGCCTGAGCTTGCAAGCAGGAACTATCCTCCAAACACTGCCAAGGTGGGTTCCATCTCCCTGTTGGTGGGCGGTCAGTGCTGCCTCTGGCAATAAGGAGGAAGACAAAGGACCCACCTTGCGTGCGTCAGATGAGGGTGAGGGATGCCTGGGGCACCACTGGGGCCACCCAGTGTAGTCCAGATCAGTGGTTCTCCAACTAGTGAATCATTTTCCATTTTAAAAATACAGATTCCGGGTTCCACCTCCAGGGATTTTGATCCGGTAGTGTGGGAAGGGACCTGAGAATATGCATTTCTCATAAGTCCCCAGAATACTGACACCACACTTTGGGACCACACTTTGGGCACCATGAACTTCTTAAACTGAAAACCACAATGTAGTACAAATTTTGCATCATGAAACAGTAGACATACAGACACATAATTTAACAATTGTATGGAATAATTTTTTTCCTTACTACATGTGAAACCCTAAAATACTTTCTATTCTATTTCATTTTTTTCAAAACAATGGTCCAAACTGTCTTGCATTTGGAAAGTATGGTATTATAGTTATGTAAGAAAATATCCTCTTTCTCCTAGAAATGTGCGAGTATACTGAAGTCTTTAGGGATGACATGTTACTGTCTGTAATTTCAACTGCCAAAGAGATTAATGAGATAAGTACTTGAAAACATTAATAATTGTTAAATCATGGCAGTATATGGGTTATTTTACTATTCTCTCTACTTTTGTACATGTTTAAAATTTTTCATAATTTAAAAAGTTTTTCAGAATGATTGTTTGGACCCACTGAATTGGTGGGGAGAAGGAAGGTGAGGGAGAAGGTGGCAGAAAATAGAGGATCAAGTAGGTAGAGGGGCACTGCAGCAGGTGGCAGGGCTCACCGCAAATCCCTCCAGATAAAACCTGCTAAAGGGCCTCTTTCTATACATCTCACTCTGCCTTCACTGTGTCTTCTCCATTGGCCCTGGGCTACCATACATACTGTACCTTATTCACCTCTATAAATACCTATTCATCTCTGAACCCCACAGCTCCCAGACAAAGCCCAGAATGAGAGAACTTCCCTCAGCAAAAACCTCTTATTTTACAGAGGCTCAGACCTCCCTCAGTATCATGAGGGTACTTCTTTCCCTAGGGCCATCTGGTAGGATAAGCCTCTCTGAGTTGTGAGCCTCTCTGGTTTTAATATGCAGACCAGACTGTGATCCTTGTCTAAGAGGGTCACACCACTGCCACCTACTGCACAAATGACTGGCTAGGTGAACCCAACCAAGAAGCGAAAAGTCAGCTGAGCTCAGACCATTCTGACAGTCATTCCACTGTCCTCTTCTGTCTCCTGAAACCAGCCTGAATTGCCTGTTGTCAAAGACCAGTTGACAATATTTGCATAGGTCTGTATCAGGGCACTTTATTTTGTTCATTTGACCTTTGTTGTCTATTCTTTTACCAATATCATGCTGTCTTGATTACTGTTTAAGAATTTCTATGGCCAGGGTATATGTGTGTGATATTTGTATGTTTTATTAGATTTTATCAGTGTTATATTCACTTCATAAACAGAATTTGAAAGGTTTCCTCCTTTTTCTGTGCTCAGGATGGAAAAATAGCAATCAACTCATGTGTTCTTTTTTTTTTAAGATTTTATTTATTTATTTTTAGAGAGGGAAGGGAGGGAGAAAGAGAGAGAGAGAGAGAAACATCAATGTGCAGTTGCTGGGGGCCGTGGCCTGCAACCCAGGCATGTGCCCTGACTGGGAATCGAACCTGCAATGCTTTGGTTCGCAGCCCGCGCTCAATCCACTGAGCTACGCCAGCCAGGGTTTGACTCGTGTGTTCTTTAAGGTTGCTCTGTAGAATTCTTCTCTGAAATAACACAGGCCTGGCACCTTTGTGTGTGGAGGTGTGGGAAAAGGCAGTTCTCTATCACCACCTGTACTTCTATGATAACTGGTCTTCTTAGAATTTCTACCTTTGGGGGATATTTTGATAATTTCTCTTTTCTTGCAATCTCATCCAGGTTTCAAATTTATTTCATGGAGTTGAGTAAAATAATTCCATGCAATTCTATTAATTATTTCCATGTCTGTTGTTATTTCCGCTTATCATTTTATATTTTGATTGTGCTTCCTGTCTTTCTTAAAAGTTAGACAACTATCCTATTACTACTTTTTTCAAATTTTATATTTATTAGTATTCATATCTATTTTTCAATTGAGTGATTTCTTCTTTTATTCTAACTCCTTTCTTTTGCTTTCCTTAGGATGACTTTGTTAATTGCTTTCTAACTTAGAAATTAGAAATTTCTAATTGGGTGGATATTTAATTTACTTTGCATTTTCTTTTCAGCACTGATTGTGAGTATCCCACAGACACTGAGATGCAGTGCTTTACCTATTTCTGTTTTTAAAATATGTATTCTGGAACTTCCTGTTTCCAGTTGAGAAAATAAAAAAAAAAAAGCTTGGAAGTCGCTGTTCCATTCTAACAAGAAAAAAGCTGAAAGCTGATGAACCAATAACTCTTATTAGCTCCATAAGAGACATTAGGTCACAGGGCAAACCACTGCCCCCAAGTTAGAAAGGATGACAGGCAAATACAGAGGATCACAATCTATAAAAGCCCATATGCAGCACTCTCTGCAGGAACCAGTGCTGGGGTAGGGAAACCTGAACCGTAATTGATGGGCTGATGGAAGCTCAGTGTGGAAAAACCAAAGAAAAACTGCAGAGGGACTCAGTCACAGGGAGGGGAGACACTTAGGAACTTTACCTCCACAAGCTCTACCGGGTCCTCATAGTGAATATCAGTTCTAATGTAAGTTCAATCAAAATCGTAACAAATTGTTTTGTGAATATTGAAAAACTGACTCTCAAGTTTATATGGAGAGACAAAAGACCAAGAATAGCCAACACACAAAAAACTGAAAAAGAACAAAGTTTGTAGGCCTATACTGCCCAGCTTCAAGATTTACTATAGCCCTGACCAGTGTGGCTCAGTTGGTTGGGCCTCCTCCCACAAAGCAAAAGGTCTCTTGCTTGAACCCCAGTCAGGGCACCAGCCTGGGTTCAGTCCCCAGTAGGGGTGCATATGAGGAGCAACCGATAGATGTTTCTCTCTCACATGGATGTTTTTCTCCCTCTTTTTCTCCCTCCCTCTTTCTCTAAAAATAAATAAATAAAACTTTTCTGTTAAAAAAAGATATACTGTAAAGTCACAGTAATCATGACTGTGGTATTGACAACTAAATAGATAGATAGATCAACTGAAAAACATAGATAGCCCATAAATAGATTTACACAAAAATAGATCACTTTGTCAACAGATCTTTGACAAAGGAGCAAAAAGCAATACAATGTACCAAAGATTGTCTTTTCAACAAATGATGCTGGAACAACTGGACACCCACAAGCCAAAAAAAAAAAAAAAAGAATCTAGACACAGACCTTACACTCATTACAAAAATTAACTCAAAATGGACCACAGGCCTAAATGTAAAATACAAAACTATAAGACAACATAAAAGACACTTCCAGCCAAGATGACAGCATAGGCAGACATGACTCACCACTTTGCACAACCACATCAAAATTACAACTAAAATATAGAAAAACCATTACAAATTGAGTTGAATGGAAGTTTGACAACTATGAAATTAAAGAAACCACATCCATTGAGACTGGTAGGAGGGGAGGAGATGCAGAATGTGTAGGTCCCTCGCTCACATGTGGTGTATAAAAATTCCAGAAGGGTATTTCAGGAAAGAGGAAACCCAGCCCCACATCAGGCCCCCCAGCCCAGGGTTCCAGTCCAGGAAGACAAGTCCCCACAACTTCTGGCTGCAAAAACCAACAGGGATTGAGTCAGTGGAAGAAACTTCTGGAGACCCAAGCAGTTCCTCTTACAGAAAACACGCATGGACTCACCTACTCAGACTCACCCCCTCTGAGCTCTAGCACCAGGATAGCAGCTTGAAAGGCACCAGTGGTATATATGGAGATACTAAAGTATCTGGTACAAGGTGAGCAGAGGCCATTGTCCCTGCTCTAAAATCCCTCCCACACACACAGAGCTGGCAAGCTGGTGACATACCTGAGACTCCATCAACCTTGATAACATTGCTTGACCCACCTTGGAGATCCCCAGATACTCTGCTGACCCAACTAATGGGCCCACCCAAGCTGCTTTTCCATATGAATGGCTGATCTTGGCTCATGCTTCACAACTTCCTAAATCTTCTCAAACAAGCAACAGCTGGCCTCAGTGAGCCTCAGGCTCAGCACTAGCAGCATCCAGCTTAGATTCACAGCTTGGGTTCACCTGAGAATTTCCACACCCAGCACAGGTAGCAGCCATCTCAGATTGCTTTATAGCTCATGCAGGTGGGCCCCAGGTAAAACACAGGAGGAGGCTGACCTTGGCCTGCACCACCCAAAAAACCCCAGGGCCAGCACACCCAGTGGGCAGCTACAGACCACATGGGAGCACCACAACCCTGCCCCTGTACAGCTGGTCCTCCAAGCAGGGTGGAGGTTGGTGCATAAGTGGTCACAGCCAATCTTTGAAACTAATTGGCCTGGGTAAATTCCTCCCATTGATCGGTCAACAGCAACCAAGGCTCAACTACAAGAGGATAGTGTACTCAGCCCACACAAAGGGTGCACCTCCAGTACCCAGCTTGGGTGATAGGGGAGGCTCCGCCACTGGACCCTACAGGACACCTACCACATCAGGCCACACTCTCAAGACACAGAGTCAAAGCAGCTCTACCTAATACATAGAAACAAACAGGGAGGCTGCTAAAATGAGGAGACAAAGAAACACGGCCCAAATAAAAGAACAGATCAAAACTCCATAAAAAGAGCTAAATGAAATGGATATAAGGATCTGTCAGATGCAGAGTTCAAAACACTATTTATAAGTACACTCAAGGAATTTAGTGAGGACCTCAGCAGCATAAAAAAGATCCAGCCAGAAATGAAGAATACACTAATTGAAATAAAGAAGAGTTTATAGGTAAACAGCAATAGAGTGGATGAAGCTGAGAATCAAATCCATGATTTCTAACATAAGGAAGCAAAAAACAACAAATCAGAACAAGAAGAATAAAAGAATCCAAAAAAATGAGGATAGAATAAGTAGCCTCTAGGACAAATTCAAGAGGTTCAACATTTGCATCATAGGGGTGCCAAAAGAAGAAAAGGAAGAGCAAGAAATTGGAAACCTATTTGAAAAAATACTGAAAAACAACTTCCCTAATTTGGTGAAGGAAATAGACCTGCAAATCCAAGAAACACAGAGAGTTCCAATTATGATGGATGAAAAGAGGCCCACCCCAAGACACATCCTAATTAAAATGCCAAAGTTTAAAGATAAAAAGATAATCTTAGAGGCAGCAAAAGAAAAAAGCTAGTTACCTACAGGGGAGTTACTATAAGACTGTCAGCTGATTTCTCAAAAGAAACTTTGCAGGCTAGAAGGGATTGGCAAGAAATAGCCAGAGTCATGAAAAGCAGGGACCTACAGCCAAGATTGTTTTGCCCAGCAAAGGTATCATCTAGAATCCAAGGGCAGATAAAGAGCTTCCCAGACAAGAAAAAAAACTAAAGGAGTTCATCATCACCAAACCATTATTATATGAAATGTTAAGGGATTTAAGAAAAGAAGGAAGATCAAACCTATGAATAATAAAATGGCAATAAATACAAATCTATCAACAATTGAATCTAAAAAAAACAAACTAAGCAAACAAGAAGAACAGAGACAGAATTGTGGATACAGGGAGCATTCTGATGGTTGCCAGATGGGAGGGGGGTGTGGGTAGTCACAGAATGGCCATGGAGGTGTAAAGTACAGTATAAGAAATGGAGTAGCCAAAAAACTTATACTCATGACCCATGGACATGAACAATGGTGAGGGGATTGCCTGAGGGAGTGTGGGTACTGGGTAGAGGGGAACAAAGAGGGGGAAATCAGGACAACTGTAATAGCATAATCAATAAAATATAATTTTTTAAAAAAACAAGAGAAAATCTAGATTACCTAGTGTTTGATAAAGACTGTCTAGATACTACACCAAAAAGGCATGACCCATGAAAGAAAGAATTGGTAAGCAGGATTTCATTAAAAGTAAGGTTTTCTGCTGTGTGTAGACACTAACAAGAGAATAAAAAGAGAAGCTGCAGACTGGGAGAAAATATTTACAAAAAATATATCTGCTAAAGGGCCATTATTTGAAATATACAAAGAACTCATAAAACTCAACAGAAAGGGCCCTGCCCCCGTAACTCACTTGGTTAGAGCATTGTCCCAATGTGCCAGGGTTTCAGATTCCATCCCTGGGCAGAGCACACACAGGCGTCAGCCAATGAATGCATTTAAAAAATGTAAAAACAAATCAATGTTTCTCTCTCTTCTTCTCTCTCTAAAAATCAGTGAATAAATTTAAAAAAAAAAACTCAACAGTAAAAGAACAAACAAGCTGATTTTAAAAACAAATCAAAGACCTTACCATACACATTAGTAAAGGAGATGGCAATGAACATATGAGAAGATGTTCCATATCACACATCATCAGGGAACTTACGAACTAAAATGACAATGACAAACACTGCACACTTGCTTTAGAATGGCCAAAATCCTAAACACTGACAACACCGAATGCTGGTAAGGATGTGGAGCAACAGGAATTCTCACTGATTGCTGGTGGGAATGCAAAATGATACAGACATTTTGGAAGAGAATTTGGACAATTTTTCACAAAACTAAACATACTCTTACCAGGTGATTCAAAAATTGTGCTCCTTAATATTATGTCCACACAAAAAAACCTGCACATTGGTATTTGCAGGAGTTTTATTCATAAATGCCAAAACTTGGAAACAACCAAGGTGTCCTTCAGTAAGTGAATAGGTAAATAAACTGTGGCACATCCAGACAATGGAGTAGTATTCAGCATTAGAAATAAGCTATCAAATCATGAAAAAAAAACAAGAAAAATGCTTAAGTGCATAAATATTGAGTGAAAGAAGACAATCTGAAATAGCTGTTTCCTACTATGCGACATTCTGGAAATGGTAAAACTATGGAGACAGTAAAAAGATTGGTGGTTGCCAAAAGTTATGGAGCAGGGAGGAAAGAATAGGTGGACTGTCAGTGATTATGATTTGCCGGTGTAGCTCATTCACTGTAACAAATGCACCACTCTGGTGGGGGATGTGGATGATGGGGGAGGCTATGCATATGTGGTGGCAAGCAGTATATGGGAAATCTCTGTATCTTCTGCTCAGTTTTGCTGTGAACCTAAAACTGCTATAAAAAATAAAGTCCACCAACTTGCAACCCAAAGTTGAATAAGTTCTGGAGATCTAATGCACTGCATGGTGGTTATCGTCAAAAATACTATATTATATAATTCAAGATTGCTAACAGGCTAGATATTAAATATCGTTACCACAAAAAGGAAATAATAATGTGATGCAATAGAGGTGTTAGCTATGGCTATGATGATAATCTTACGCAATACATAAGTGTATCGAATCAACCCATTGTATAGATACGCCTTAAACTTACACAACGTTATATGTCAATTATATCTCAATTTTTTAAATAGCATTATAGAAAAAATAAGCCCTAAAATTCTGTAATTTTGGTTTTGAGATGATTAAGGAGAGAATTTTTTTAAATGTTTTCACATTCTAGAAAACAAAATTTTGTATTCTTCTTACCCCACACTTGTTTAAATCTGACTACAGCTACCCTCTGTCCTTTGAGGCTCTAAAGATTAAAGGTCATGAGGGTTCCTGGCCCTGCAGCCCAAGAGAGAAAAAGAACCCTCGGACTACAGGAGGACAGCTGGACCCACCTCCTTTGGTCCCAACGGAGGCTGAAGACAAAGCAAACCCCTCGGAGTAGGAGCCCAGCCCAAGCCGCGGAGGAGCACGCAGTCCGATTGGCCAAATTCCAAAGAACCCTGCTCCATCTCTGATTGGTTTGAGCAGAGACGCGCCCTCCCGAATGCCTCTCTCGGATTGGCCTATTTCTTGCTTCTGACTAGGACGGTGGCCAGAGGAGGACAAGAGATTTCTGTATGGGATGGAGGGACGATTTGGGAAGGCAGCTGAGCCGCAGTTCTGCAAGGGGCCAGGCTTCAGGGAAATGGCGGTGGCCGGTGTGATGTCCTGCTGCTGGTGGCGACCGAGAGGAACCGGTGGCAGCGAGTCCCGAGCCTGCTGCCGCCGCGAGGTAACGGTGGGGAAAGGGGTGGTTGCTTTCCTGGCGAGGGGCGGGGCGGGTGCGTTAGGCCACCTGGAGCGGTGAGAGATGCAAAGATACCCGAGGGTCTACCGGGAGGAGAAGAGGGAAGAAGCTGCACTCGGGAAATTCTGCTTTCATTCCACCTCCGAAAGGGAGTCCTCCTACAACCAGCCCCTCCCTTTCTTTCCCTTCCTTACCGTTTGCCTCAGTTTCTCCATTCACGGGGTGGGGGAATGGCGCTGGGCCTGCCATCCTTTCTGCGCCCCTCGCTGCGTGAGCGAGAATAAGGTTACTAGACTTGACAATGCTAGTTAAATCTAAATTTCAGATAAACGACAAATAATCTTTTAATAGAAATATGTCCCCATAAAATAAACAAAATTAAATTAAAATATAAAGCATTATTTGTTATTTGTCTGAAATTTAACTGAGCACCTTGCCTTTTATCTGGCAGCCCTAGACAAGAATAACATGTGTACTCCTCCTAACCATTTACAGGGTGCATTTACAGGGTGCTTTCACGGCGCTCCCTGTGTGGGGACTGGTGCTAACCCATGTTCTGATTTAACCAAAAGGCACTTGACCATCCTTACAGAACTGGTGAGTAATCGGGCCAGGACGCCTTAAAAGCTCATTTCAGTTCTGCTGTTCTTCACCAGGTGTGCAGTTCAAAGACTCCTGGGGGATTCTTTCTCCTCGTTGGAACTAATCTAGCTAACAAAAGCAGATTTATCTTTCAGAAGGGCTGGAAAGTTGCTTTATGTTCAAGTTCCCCACTGGCATTTACATTATATTTTGGGGAAGAAATAACTGCACTAAATGGTCAAAAAATATTTATTTATTATATGATGTTGAAAGTTTATTTTATATGTTATATCACAATGGCATATCATTTGGTTCTGATGCAATTGAAGGTTTTATTCACATGCATTGCAGGAGATCCATACATCACTGTGAAGGTAGGATTAAAGCAGTGTAGTGTGTAGAAGCCAGGAGCTCAAATTCTGGACTGAGATACATCTAGATTCATAGCCCAGCTCCATCCCTTTGATGGCAATGGGCAAGTTACATAATCTCTCTGGACCTCCGTTACCTATTCTTTAAAGTATGGGTGATGATGATTGTTCGCTTCATGGGATTGTATTAAACCCTCATCAAGTGTCTGGGACACTGAAAGTACCTAATTAATTTTAGCTGTTTTTAGCCATTATAATTTGACTTTTTATAAGTATGATTCTTAGGTATAAATCATTAAAAAATTATTAAATTTTTAAATTTTAAGTTGAAAAAAGCCAAGCAATTAAGAATGTTATGGATATCTTGAATCTCAGTGAAAAAAAAAAATACTGTTTGATAATAATTAAAGCATAATGATTTTATCAAATCAAATATCAATAAACTGGGCTAATATAATAAAATATTTACATATCTGTACCATTCATTGCTGTGCATGTATAATTTTATGTATTTTCACTTTTATTGTGCTATCTATATAAACAGGAAGAAATGTGACCAGAGTCAAAAATGACTACAGGGTTATGGTTAAAGTCAGAAAATGGATTTATAGTCAGTGGCTTTTTCTAGTGAGATAGACAGTATGTTTTATTCTTTTTTTATTTTATAAATATTTTTTTATTTGTAGAGGAATCTATACAAAGTTTGGACTTGTATAGTAAATTAGTAAAGAAGTAACAGGATTGGTTTATGGAAGCTTTTTGGCCCTGGATTCCTCACTCCAGTGATGAGGGTGTCTCCCTTCGCTGCTCTGCAGCAAGGGGGGCGCCTTTAGCTGCAGAGATTTATTTCCTGCTTTCAAGGCAACAGGCGAGGATCAGTGGGCCCTTCTTGCACCAGCTGCTTGTCAAGTAACTTTCATTCAAAATAATCAATATGCCACTGTGGGGTATTTTAGGGCGGCCTGCCATGGGCTCTAACACTGTTATCAAAATTCACTGCTATATTTTCTTTTAATCAAACCTTTCTTAACTGTAGGCTTTATTATGATCAAGGCTGTATAAGTCACAGTTTCCTGTTGAAAAGGTACTTATTTTTAAAGTAAATCAGCAAATACATATCAGAACAATTTATCTTGAGCTATAAAAAACAGAGCTTGTTTTACATGTCTTACACATAGAAGAAGAAAAAAGGATATGCTTGTTTTGGTTCTTTAATTATCTAGCTAGTGTCTCTAAGAAACTGAAGATCCCAAGTCTGCAAAGGCACATAAATCTAATTAAAAATGAGACACTTAGGCCTATCTGGTGTCTCAGTTGGTTGGAGTGTCCTCCGGTACACCAGAAATTTGCAGGTTCGATTTCAGGTCAGGGCATGTGCTAGGTTGTGGGTGTGATCCCCAGTCTGCACACATGTGAGAGGCTACCAGTCAATGTTTCTCTCTCACATGGATGTTTCTCTCTCTCTCTCTCTCTCTCTCTCTCCACCTTCCTCTCTAAAATCAACAAACATATTAGCAGGTCAGGGGTTTTTTTTAAATGAGACACTTAAAAGGATTTTATGATGAAGCAATTTGATTAATTATAAACTTAGAAGTGATTCTGTGTTGTGCTGTGTAAAAGCTGTTTGCAGACCAGAATTGCAAACTAAATATGAACAGTTCAGCATTTAGCCTTGTGCTTTGGAAGTCATTTGATGGAGCCCTTATTTCTATCACATAATAAATAATTTAAAACTTTTGACTTTTAGATTCAGAAGGTGATTCTGTCACTTGAGTACTATCTGGAAGCAACTCATCATGCATGCTTTGTGGAATCAGTGCTCAAAGTGAAATGCAGAAAAATGCAGACTGTCACAGGACATGCTGCTTATCGGTACTCCAGGGAGAACAAGGGATGTTAGATAAAAGATATCTTTGTAAGTATTACCGTGCTTTTCCTAAAGCATTTTTTAACCAGTGACTTGTGGGTTATAGGAAAAGATAATTAGCATAATTCCTTAAGCCAGCTGCCATGCATCAATATCTAGAGGTAATACAAAGACTTCTGTTTAATAGACTTTATGTTAGAGTGATTTTAGGTTTACAGACAAATTGAGAAGATAGTACAGAGAACTCCCATATGCCTTGCACCTGGTTTTACATATTACTAACTTTTTATATTAGTATGGTACATTGTTAAAATTAATGAACCAACATCGATGCATTATTATGAACTAAAGTTCTGAGTTTATTCAGGTTTCATTAGTTCTTAACCTAATGTCTTCTTCTGTTGCAGGACCCCACCCAGTTTACCACACCACATTTCATTGTCAGGTCTCCTCTCGGCTGTGGCACTTGGTCAGATTTTCTGTGTTCACAATGACCGTGGCGGTTTTAAGGATCATCGGTCCTGTTGTTTGCGGAATGCCCCTGTATTGACGTTTGTCTGAGGTTTTTCTGAAGGTTAGACTGGTGTTAGGGCTTTTTTTGGGAGGAGGACCACAGGAGTAAAGTGCCACTTGCTCATTATAGCAAGGTTTGGACTGTTGACGTTGACCTTGACCGCCTGACTGAAGTAGTAGTTGTGAGGCGTCTCCATTGTGAAGTTCCCCTTCTCCCTCCGGTTCCATACCATAGTCTTTGGGAAGAAGTCTCTATGTGCGACCCACACATAAGTAAGGCTTTTAAAAAAAAAGTTTTCCAAAGTGGATCAAGGTGCTTGTTTTGGGTGAAGCAAATAAATATGTGGAGCCACAGGATTAAGGCTCAAATCCACAAGATTTACCAGAAATTAACCCAAGTGTTCATGTGTGACATGATTTGCCTGTTGCTGGCAGGTCCGGCTAACTCGCAATGCAGCTGTGCAGTGCTGCGTTGTCCTCGCCCCTGCCCAAAGCAACTGTCTCCTACAATCTCTGTCTGGCTCACTTCCATAGTAAGACAGGGACGCTTGGTCTCAAACATTATTTCTTCAAGTATTATTATGAAAACTGTGATATCTGCTTAATTAATGTATCAACATAGTCATTGTCTCTTTTTAAGGTTGTGTTGCTTTCTGCCTGATTCCAGTCGCTCTGCTGCTAGTCATCTGTTCGTGAGATCCATTTCAAACTGGTGAAGAAGGAAGAATCGGCCCTGAAAGAGGGTAATGTTTTTCTATTTGCTATACCTAAAATTATAGCCAGGATTTTTTTTTAAACCTCCTTATTTAAGATCTGTGTCAAAATAGCAGAACCTGGTATGTCTAAGTATTTGTGATAAAGCTAGCAGAGCAAACACAAGAAGAAAAACAACTACTCCAGGTAGTAGAAAAAATAAGATGAAGCTCTTTTTTAGTCCATGGTGCTTTATTCTAAGATTTGATACAATAATAGCTGCACTTGGGTGGAATTAATAGAATGAATTTCTAACTGGTCTCTTCCAATGGTAAAGCTGAGAGTTAGAAATCAAATGGCTGTTTACTGCGACTCTAATACGTATTAACATTGTCCTCTCTGAAGTACTGTAGGGAAGGAAATTGCATGTTCCTTGTGATGTATGAGAGATCAAAAAGTGCACAGGCTGATCTTTTTCAGAACACAAGGCTAAAGCTTCTGAGAAAAATAATTGATAGGAATTTCCATTTCTAATGTGATAAGAGTGGCTATTTCCCAGTAATTAAAACACTGTTACTATGTAGTTATTTCCTTAATACACTAAAGCAGGGCCTAGTTACAATGTAGCTGTGAGGTGCTGCGTTGTTTTTGCCCATGCTCAAAACAGAACTGTTTCCTTTCTGGCCCTGCCGGCCCTCGTGCTGTAGCCGGCAGGGATGCAGGGTCTCATACACAGTTCCCAGTTTAAACACTGAGCTGGCCAATGACTTGAGCATTAAGTCTGTTACTACTGAAATATTTTGCAGATGCTGACAAAGACATTATTAAAAGGGAATTCGGATAAGGGACAAATCACATTTTCATAATTATGATTGATTGGGAGTTCAATTCCTTATTTAATTACAATATTTATCTCACAAAAGTTGATTTTGAGGAGAAGATTTTAAGTCGTCTGTGTCAGCTCGAGCTATGGGATGAGGAGGATAAAGGCCACACTCCACAGTGAGCCGTATGCTGTCTATGAAGTTCATTACTATTTCGTGGCCCAGAAGAGTGTGCAGCAGTTGATTTTGAATCAGAACGTGAGTACATACTATCACATCTCAAGCTCATGACTTTTATGTACAACTAGTGTCTGTGGTTATAAACTGTGATCTGCCCACTATTATGAAAATTATATTCTTAGTTGAGTATTTATCATCTTCATTGAATTCCTTGCTTTTATTCTGGTGAATTAACGTCATGTATTGCTTTTCAAGTGTGTTTTTGCCAGCTAGACAACCATGAAAATCAGGTAAATGAATGAGGAAAATAATCTTATCATGTAGTAATATGATGAGATGTATTTAAAATGTACTTGGGAAGATTTGTGGTTGGTCAGAACACAGTGTGAAAGTAAATGTGAAATTAAAGTCTAGATTGTGAACTTTATACCATTGATATTCAAAGGAAAAATCAACATTGCTGTTAGTTCTGGTTGTCTTAACTTGCATGAGTCTTTTTTTTTTATCATGTTGCTCAAATCTTGTGGTTTCTTGGCGATTCCTCCATAACCAGGGTTTTCTCGGTATTGTCTGGTAGCAGTTTTTATTGACTATGGCATAGGTGTAGTGGCTTTATCATTAAATAAATTGAATGATGTCTTGCTACCAATGTAAAATAATTTTGTTTAAAAAGATATAGCAGTTGGAGAGAATAGGACACAAGGAGGTGCCCAGAAACAGCGCTGGCCTGACGGAGGACCTAGACTCATAGGGCAGACAGCATGGAGTTTGGATAAAGGGAGAGTCAGTGTTTCCGAGTTTGATTTCCTCTTGTCCTGATTCTTTGATATTTTAAGTTGTTCCAGCCAAGAGATTTTTGATTTGTTGTATTACGTGTTTTGGTGGTAAGTATATTTCAGTCATTTGTGTTATAGTGTATGAGATGATCAGAAAACAGTGATAAATGTGGGTTACCACAGAAAATGTGTGGAGGTCCCGCCCCCCAGACACTGGAAAAGATGTAAGTCCGGGGTCAAGTCTGTGCAAGGGAACGCCCTGCGGTGACGGAGACACTCTCCGTCTCACTGCCCAGCACCGCAGTCACAGGCCGCACGTGGCTGCTGGAATGTGGTTAGGGCGACTGAGGCCTGAGTCTTCTATTTCACTTAATTTTAATTTAAACTCGCATAGCCACGTATGGCTAGTGACTGTCGTTTTGGACGGTGCAGTCCAAATAACAGTGAACCTTCCAGAGTTTCCACTGGCTGTTTGTAATGCCACGTGTGCATGAAAACGGACCACTCAAGAGTTCTTTCGGTTTCTTCCCTGGTGCTTATGTCCATCCCAGGCTGCCGTCTGCGCTTGGCCCATGCTGGCACGGGATTTCATTTCATCACTCAGGGTGCCTGGTAGAATCTGACCTGATGAAAGCCCGATGAATTCCTTTGCACTAACAATAGAAGAAATATTTCCCTCTGGACATTGTGATTAGCATCCAGTGCTCCATTTCCACGTCCTCGGTGTATAATCTTAGCAGATAAACAGCCACTGATGGTTAACACGTAGCTCATATTGTTGCAGATGGTGTAGTATTTGGCAAGTACTATTCCGGTGACCAACTTTCCTTCTGTTCAGAACTACAGGAGGAACATGTGGGAGGAAAGCCGTGGCCGTCGGCATTGAAGAACTCCAGGGGACTCTCCACGACACTGAGACTCCGCCGCACTGCAGGGAAGGAGATTTCGGGAAAGGAGGCGATCCACACCACAATTCCTGGGGCGAGGCAGTTCCGAATGCGGCGCTCGCTGCTGCCGAGTAGGCGTCCACACGTCCACACGTGCACCATGCTTCCTTCTTTGGAAATACTTGATTTGTCTCAGTGTTGATAACGGATCAGAAATACAGGTTTGACAGAAGACGACTGTAGTCGTGAGCTCTGTGAGCAAAGTCATGGGTTTGTTCTCCTCCAGGTTACGCTCTCAGGTTGCGTGTGAAAGATGGGGTCGTAGAGTCTTTCCTAGATGTTTATTTCCTGGTCCTATAAAATGGTTATACTGAGTGTTTTCTATCACTTAATAATATACTTTTGGACTGAAAGATACGTGCTACATGAGTGCAGCTAATTACATTCAACTAGTGTATCTGCCTTTCTTGTGTCATCAGACTGAATAGAACAAATTTTGAATGATTTTGTAAAGAAAATACTTGAATTCATTTTGTTTGGTACTGTGATTTTATTCCATAAAGCATTCTATTAGTGGTAAGCATTCAGTGGAGCCTTCTGCTAAGCACCAATGATTATATCCTAGTGTTAAATACAGAAAAACTTCCATATTACTGGTAGATATTGAATGTTCAGTAAATTACAATAAAATATATTTTCCTTTAAAGTTGTTTGGTCCCTATTCCTTAACATTTGTGCTTTTTGCCATAACTGCACATTTTCAAAGGAGGAGGGGAAGAAGATAAAACAGCACTCTGTAGTAAATATTTTATTCTAGTTATAAAATTACACGCAAAGAATGCAACAAGTGTGGCTTCTCGTGAAAAGGTCTCACAGTCCCAAGTTGGCTGCTGCGTGACAGCAGCAGAGACCGCCCAGCGGCAGGCGTGAGGCAGCAGTGCCCTCTGCTGCGTGTCTGCTCTCAGATGGAAAAAGTGTTAGAATGCAAACCTCTCCCTCTCCTGGAGTGGCAAACACTCCTGTGTACACAAAGTAGCTACTTAACATCCAAGTTGTCTGGGTTTTTTAAAAGACTATTTGTTTTTAGAGAGGGGGGAAGGGAGGGAGATCAAGAGGGAGAGAAAGAAACATCAATGTGTGGTTGCCTCTTTCACGCTCCCCACTGGGGACCTGGCCCGCAGCCCAGGCATGCTCCCTGACTGGAGATCAAACTGGCGACCCTTTGCTTCACAGTTGAGTGCTCAATCCACTGAGCCACACCAGCCAGGGCCGAGTTGTCTGTTTAATAAACTAATCAGCAAAACTATGTTTCCATAATAATAACATGGAGTTGCTATAATAGGCTTATTAATGGCTGGATTGACATGGAGTATAATCCTTGTTTCTTCCTACTCACAAATTGTTTACTTAGCAATCTTTGTCCTGACCACAGCTTATTTATTTGTCAGAAAGAATCACTCTGACAGGCAGTGAATATTTCACTAGTTGTTTCAATTGGTATCACCTAGAAAAAATTATGGAAATGAATTTCTAGGTGTGAGCAGCCCCCTTTATCTCTCGAGTCCCAGTACTGATGCTTGCCACTCCCTTCACCGTAAAACTGCTACTGCGCCAAATAAAACAAATGCTGGACTCCTCGGAAGTATCCGATCAATTAAAAGTCATCACCATCTCCAGTAAGTAAGTGTGCGAAAGGAGATCTTCAAGAATGAAACACAGGATGGCACCCACCCCGGATGCCCATTCCCAGCAAAGACTGGAAGGCAGTGGAGAGAACTGCACAAAGATGAGACAAACACAAACAAGCATACTTTGTGTTGTGTTAGGAAAAGGTGACTACAGAATCTGCCAGGAGGCCTTCACTGCCTTGTTTAATGATGCAGATTTTGTAATATTTAGGGTCAAGGCTGCCCATTATCTCCATCCAAGAGCACCCGTGACCCTTTCTTACACTCAGCAGCATTAGGCACTGCCTCCCCCTCCACAGTTCCCTCCCAGGCCCCACCCCCACTTCCCTCCTCTGCGTGTGGCTCTCTGCTGGCCCTCTGCTGTCCTCTCCACACTCTGGGGCTTCCTGGGCGCTCCCCAAAGCATCAGACCAGCCACCCTCTGGGTGTCTCTCATGATCATTAGCACTTCAGTCTGTATGTTCAAAACCCAACTTACTGTCTTGCCCCAGCGCCTTTTATCTCAACACCCTGCACCTCCTTCTCTTATCTAGACTTGGGCAATGGCCTCCAACCTGCTTCTCAGCCCCTGATTTTCTTCATCCAATCCATTTACCACTCAGGTCACAGGGTGGTCTCATAATAATGTAAGTTATTCAGAGGCTTTCCTTTCTGCCTCAGATCCCCGGCCTTTGGTGTTGCAGCTAAAAAGTCATCACTAAACCCAAGGCAATTGAGATTCTTTTTTTTTTTTTTTTGCATGTGGATGTCCAGTTGTTGCAGCACCGTGTGTTGGAAAGACTATCTTTTCCTCGTTGTGTTGTCTTTGCTGTGCTGTCTAAGAGCAGATAAATACAGCTGGCTATACTTACATGAACCTGTTTCCAGGCTCCTGTAAGGGAAACTCTGTTTTTCTCCTCTACTCACAGAATTCTGCTCAGACCACTTCACTTTTGGCACTTCTGGTCATTAAGTGTTGGGGGTTTCCCCACACGAAGCAACTCTGTGATGCCAGCTGGGTGTCCTACAGTTGTACTCAGTCCTGGCACTAACCTGGAGACAGCGTCAGACCCCACAGGCTGAGGGGTCAGTCCTACAAGGCTGCCCCTTTCTCACACACATAAGATGCGAAATGCAACTCTGGGTTGTTACTTATGCTCCTCACTGGCTGTATGTTAGGGATTCCCATGACCACCACCTTGGGTTCTATTAATTTTCTAGAGTGTCTCAGGGAACTCAGGAAACATTTTACTTACCAGAGAAGCAGTCTAATACACAGAAAGATAGAGCTCAGGAGTGTCCAGATGGAAGAGCGGGCTAGGGCAATGCATGGGGAAGGGCCGTGGAGCTTCCATGACCCTTGGTTGCACTACGCACCCAGCACATCCATGAACTCACCAAACCGGAAACTCTTCAAACCCTGTACTTTTGAGTTTTCATGGGGGCTTCTTTATGGAGGCATGATTGATTATGTCATTGGTCATGGGCACAAATTCAACCCTCAGCCCCTCTCCCATCCCTCCCACCCCTGGAGGTCAAGGGGTGGGGCTGAAAGCTGTAACTCTCCAGTAAGGTTGGCTCCCCTAGCAACCACCCTCCATCCTTAGGGCCTATTCACAGGGCATCTCAGGTGTGGTTGCAAAGGGTCACCCTTCTCAGTTTAGTGTAGTTAGGAAGTTTGAAAACCAAAACCTCCCATCCAGACCAGCTAGAACCGTTTACCCACCATTTACATCAGTCAGAACTAAACTCCAGGGCTAGTACTGACCAGGATGAATGAAGATTTGAGGAAGGTAAACTACTCTTTTATAGTACCCAGCTTCTCTTTTATAACAAAAGAACACCTGAACTCCTCCAAATAGAACATAGTTACTAAGCAGCCTTTCTCAACCAAAAGCAAAACATCTCTGTGATCTAAATTCGTTAATTAAAACTAAACAATGTTGCCCCCAACTCCGGCTTTGCTCATGGAGACCACACACAGGCCACTGATGCCCACTTTCCTGATTCACAGTCTTTCAGCTTCTCAGAAGCGCATCTTCTGGCTCCTGTATTCAAAGTGCTGGGGAGGGGCCTGGGCAGAAGCCCACAGACCTGCCTGACCTGGGGAAAGAAAGTGCTGGGCCCCGCGGGAAACAAAGCCATCCCAACAATGTTTGCAAAGCTCAGCGTGTCCACAGCAGAATGCTGCGGGTGCAGCTTCCTTTGTGAGCCTGCAGCTCTGATCAATGACCAACCAACAGGCTGGACACTCCAGGGCTACCCCCCTGGGGACCAGATTTATTGTGCAACCTCCTCGGGCACCCCTCGCTGCGCTCTGATTTGGTGACTTCATCTGCAAATCACAGTGAATTTCAATGTCTTGTTAACGAGGGAACATAGAAATCACAGATGACTCAGAGCCTGCTGAAGGCAGGAAGCAGGAAAGACTGTGGGAGAGACCAGGACAGAGAACTGCTTAAAGAAAAAATATGCACATGTTTGGAAGGTGACTTGGGCTTGCTCTGTGGGGACTGAGAAGGAACGGATATCCCCTTAACTCAGAAGAGGAGAGAGCAGAAGCAGGAACGCCAGCAAAGATGGGAGCCGGGCGCCCTCAGTCACCCAAGGATCCTTCTTCCCGAGGGGGCACTTCCAGCTTTGCTGGAAAAGCGAGTCAGTGCTCGCAGTGGCCACACGTTTCCCTGCATGGCCCCTGACCCTTCCCTTTTGTGCTCCACCCGTGCTGTCAACTCGTTTCTTTGTTGAGTCCACATGTGTGACCCTAAAATAGCAGGCAAAGCTGCTACAAATGTTGAAGTTTCAGTCAAGATGGTGAGGTCTGTGCTGTAAGTTCAAGTTAAACAACCTCAGTGCCCAACGTTCCCATGAAAACTGCACATGTCTGACATGGGTCATGGCACTGGCTGCCCTGGGCATGGTGGAGGTCGTGAAGTGGGGTCTTCCAGCCTCCAGTGGGCGGGCATCTACGGTCTGGTCGGGACGAGGCTCACTGGCCCCCATGCAGCTGCCGTTCCCATGGATGACACAAAGGGACGGATGGTGTCGGCGCTGATTTGGGCAGTACCAGCTCCAGGCACAGGAAGGGCATCCCTGGGAGCAGGGAGCAGAGACTGTTGGAGCAGGAGGGGCTGAGGACGAGGGGGTTGGGAGGCTGTTGGAAGAGAGGCCATCTGTTGGAGGCCAGAAGGGAGAGAGTGGCAATGGGGGTGACACCTGAGGACCAGGCATGTGTCTGAGAGCAGGCAGGTGGGGGCAGCTCATGGGGACCTGGACCATAAGGCAGAGGAGCCAATGCATGTCCAGGGCTGCAGGAAGTCACAGGACAGGAGTCTGTGTTCTCCTTTTCAATGACAGCTTCCTTGTCACTATGCAGTAAGCTTTATGCAAAAGGGATCGCATGCAGGAGGGACGCAGATGGCTGGGGATCAGGACCCGGGTTCTGTCAGGGCCTCGTGTTGATGCAGATGAGGTGAGGAGGACCTAGTCTGGGCGGTGGGAGTGGGGAGGGATGAAGGAATGAAGAAGACCCTCTGAAGAAAAACAGACACCCAGCAGTACGTGAGGAGCGGTCTGGGATGGGGGTTAAGGAGGAGGAGAGGGGTCGAGTTGGAAGCAGGGCTGACAGAGGAGGAACACTGGTTTCCTGAGTTGAAGTGAGGGCATCTGTCTGGTTTTCGACTGTGTTGAGTGTGAGGTGCTGGGGAGGGAAGTCCAGCCAGTGATGAGATGGAGGCAGACGGGACTGCAGATGCGGTGGGCGCGCTGAGCATAAAGACCCTCGGAAGTTTAAGGAACTTTATTTCATGTTGTGTGTACCACTGAGCTCACATTCCCTTTCCACTCTGCACAAGACAGCTCATCAGCAAGAAAGTCCTTTGTGTGGCTTCACTTGGGAACTCCATTCCCTCTGAATTTCAGCACACACACTCTCCA